GCTTGCTAGGTGTTCACTCGCTTCCCTCTCCTTCGTCTACTGGAATTAAGTTTCCCCATTTCTGTGGAAATCTTCTCCTTTCATTCCTTAGAGGTGGTTCAGTGGGTTAAAGTCCCACATGGTGGCTTTCGATACTTCCATCTACTGCAAAAAAAAAAAATGTTTCCTAAGACCACTGATGATGAGTAATTGGCAATACTCGAAACAGTGTTGTATGGTTACCCAAATTTCAATAAGTTTAATAAAATTTTTGTCCTTGACTTTTCTTTGCTATTCGAATCCGTCTAAAAACGCGTCACTCTCGACAAGAAAAAAATTAACATTATAAGTTATGGATGTTGAAGATAATTGCATTGCTTAATTGGATTAATTAAAATAAAACACTGTTGTGATTGGCTAATATGTGCCGATAAGGTTTTAAAGAAACTGCACAGAACTATTAAAACTATTCAAAAACGTGCAAGATGCCCTATTACATAAATAATTTTAATCAAGTCAATACAACTGGTTCAGTTTGGCGTAAGTGTAGCGTTTGCTGAATTCATATGTTTTTATTAGGAAATTAGGAATCCATGTTGATTTATCACCTAATTATCATGTTGAAAGCATCAACAGGTTGCTAGTAATTTATGTCCCGGAAGGAAAATTAAATTTCGTTAAGTCATGTTTTTAGGATGTAATAACTGTCTTAAACCAGACCAGCAATGACATGAAGAAGGACAGTTCAGCAGGAGACGGGCAAAGCGTTCAACGAGTTGATGGCAGTAGTACAAAATAGAAACCAGTGAAAAACTTTTGTAGGCTCCTTAAGCTCCTAATGGAGTATGGAAATAATAATAATAATAATAATAATAATAATAATAATAATAATAATAATGTGTCTTAAACAGATCCTTATAAACATCAATATTTCTTTCTTTATTAGGTTTGGATTCTTTAAATAGGTAAGTAATCGCTTTTAAATATAAGATTCAGTTAACAGACACAAATTTAATAATGAAGTAATGAAGTTGCAGAACTAACAACTTTCGAAAATTAGAAAAAAGGAATTATGAAAAAAGGAATTATGTTTGTATTATAGTGTATAAATACATAACACCTGTTAACACTTCTTAAATATATAATACGTGTATTTATATTGAATTCGATGATATCCAATTACCGCACAAAAATAAAAAAAAACGAACTTTTCTGTATTTCGAGTTCGACATGAATATATCTAATTTTTATTATTGGTTTATTTACAAACATATAAAAATCGTTTTGCGAATAAATTAATTTTAAAAAGTTTATAAATAAAGCTTGAGTGCCTTTATATAAAGTTCTCAAAAGCGAGCAATGAAAATGTTTTCAAGATATCGATCAAAGAAAAACATTTAGTTTTGATGTCTTACTATCGTATTATGTAGTATTATTTTTATATATTAATTGCTATAAAGACATGTTGTACACTTTTATTTTTGATACTAAGGCACGAACTAAATTGGATTATTAATACATTCTTATTATATATCAAAAATATACGTATGTGTATAATATATTAAATATTTTAAATAAATAAGGAAAATCTAAAATTAATTAATGTAAGATTTTTAAAGATAAAAAGCAGTAGATGTTTAAAGAAGTATTATCGATAAATGACTTTAATATTTTTTGTTTGTACTATTAATGACTGTATCCAATGTAATGACTCCGCAGTTAAATGAAAATATTATGGTTTTCTATATAAAAAATAAAAAACAGTTTTATGAAAACAATTACACTAGATACAGTGTAAAAAGACAATACGCATTGTTTCTTTTAACGTAACTGTCACAGTTATAATTATTATAAAATCATAATAAATTTTAAACAAAACAAATTATATTTAATATTGCTAAACAATTGTTAACAATTGAGACATATTTATTTGTAAAAAGTTATTTAAAAAACAAATCATTACTCATGATTTGAGTAAAATCATTATGTTTTACTAACAGCTAGAAAAACAACGTTTATAGGACGTTTAAAGATAGATTTAGAAAAACATTCATCCAACAAATCACTTTAAAACTTTATAAAATATTCAATTATAATAGAAAGAATTAAAATGAAGTGTCTTCAAAAATTAGAAGAAAAACCACAAAAATTTAAAGGACTTTGGTTTTGATTTCCATAACCCCATAAGTTAACAATAAAATTGTATACCCACTACGGAGATGAGGACTTTTCACTTTTATTTTACTCATGTTAATAAAAGAGGATATAAAGATATTATTGTTCATTTTAAACTTCAGACAATAACTTCACAAGAAAACTTAACAATATTTTCTTTTCAGAATGAAGTTATAATATTGAAATCTCATACGTCTATTCAACATAGCAGAGAATAATATATAATCAAACTTCCATATGTCGATGTTTGTAGGCTAAAGATAACGTCATTTAATAACGCTGTTATAAAATGCATTATTTGAAAGGTTTTTGTTATCATATATAGATCGGAGAGCAAATGTACAGAACTAATTACATGTTTTATCTACATATATTCTAAGTATTATTTTATTAATTCTCAAGTAATGTAAAAATGGTGTACAGATTGTAAACTAAATATTAAGAAATAAAAAAAAAATGATACACTTGTGAAAACACAATGGGCCAATAGGCCTAAGTGAATCCACCAGGGATCACCGGTATAACCTAACATACACCTGTAAAAAATTTCGCTACGGTTTCTTTGGATTTTAATTTTCTAATACATACATAATTTTCTCAAACATAAAATTAAAAGAAATCAAACTAGTAGAATTTAAAGTGATGAAACTAAAATATTTAGAATTAGGAGTTATACAAGCTTCGATTCAACTTATGTAAGTAGAATAAAAAATAATATTAAAATTAAATAAAATTCAGGAATTGATTAAGAACACTAACACAATGGAAAAAAAATTTGCAACATCTTGATAGCGGTATACTGTCTGCAATGCTTTTTAATAACAAAATAATTTTTGCAACTACATAGGTAATTTGACTTATAGTGCACTAGGTTACGTTAGGTAATGCTGGTAGAGCAAAAAGACTACGCATACACCATTAAGGTCCATTGCGATACCAGATTAGAGTCTTAATTTTTTATCGATAGTGGTGTGCATCGCTTAGGATGCGCGTGTTATTTGTGGATTTTATTTGGATTTTAATAGAAACCTCAGGTATGTGCTCCAGTCCGGTAAAACTGACAGTCCCTAAGTATTTTTGTCGAGTTCTCGAGAGAGCCGGATATAGTGTACTAACTTTCAATACATTTTAAAGATTACATATAAATTCCAATTAGTGAGAATTTTTAACTATTTTCATTACTAAAACGAAGACAACAGAAAATATCGGTAAACGTAATAAACACAAATCGATTTAAACCTTAGATTTCACTAAAGGCAAACTTAAACACAGCAAACAGCTGTTCTTAAATTTTGCCAAGCAGCAATTGAATCTTAACTCAGAAAATACATGAAATATTAAAATAAATAGAATTAAGTAACTTTTAGACGTGGCATATGAGGTTCTATATTTGTGTTCATCTATATGCAAAATCGTATTAACAAAATCCTGCCATTTACTTTCATCATAGTAACGTTTAAGTATTAAGAGCTAAGAGATAAGAGAAATGAATATTTACGTCATAAGAGGATATGCTAATCGCAAACAAACTCTAAAGAGGTAACTATATCGTTGTGACTCCCCACTAAAAATTCGAGTTGTGAAGATAAATTTAAAGGAAAGTGGTAAAAAGCTGTTTGAATTTTTACTTCGAGTTAGGGGAATTCGACTTATGAAGAAAAAAATACAAGGAAGAGTTCTTGAAAATTCAAAGTTCGTACATAGGAGTTTGAGTTGTGGAATAATTCGATTTAGGGGACTTCGAGTTATAGGAATTTCACTGTATATAAAAGTTAGGTCAAGAACTAGGGAATTAAGATTCCTTATTATGAAACTATGTCCCTATTTTCCATTATTAGTACTCATAGTAACAGTAACTACCAGTTGATTTAAGGCAGCTTTTTAAGGCAAATATCCGCTTTATTCTGTGAGAGAACCAACTGTATTATATAGAGCTTATTGGGCTCGCAAGTACGACCATTTAAATGTTATTACTGCGTTGTAACAAAAATACATAGGAATAATAATCAATTTTTATTATTCGAAAAAATTTCAGATTTTGTCATGTGCAGAAATCTTAAAACAAGCGATTACAACAATTACAGAAGAAAAACCAGCTCGTAGATCAAGGACATCATAGATCATAATTTAACAAGAAAAGCAGTGAACAAGAGAGAATGGTATAAACTAGCAGAGATTAACTTAAGCCATATAAACTTTAAGACATAAAATAAAATAATTTTACGTAAATGATAATTCAGAATTTTGATACATATATAAAAAATATACATAAAAACACTAAAACAGTATATAGTCCTTATGTATATAAACTCTGCAACAGGCGGTTAATATGTTTATTTTATGAAATAACAACGGTGAATGATGATCGAGTACAAAAAACGAATGGAATCAAATAGAAACGAAACGTTTAACACATATGATCATATATGAATAAAGTGTTATTTAATAAACAATAGTTAATAGCTGGCTGCAAAATAAGGACCATAAATTAACTGAAAGAATTATTTAAATGCAATTTAAAAAAGAACATTTGAACATTTAACACATATAATCATTTATGAATGAAGTGTTATTTGATAAACAATAGCTATTAGCTGGCTGCAAAATATGGACCACAAATTAACTGAAAGAATTATTTAAATGCAATTTAAAAAAGAACAGTACATTTAACTATTGTTATAAATCTTTATATAAAATAAATTACATATATTCATAAATTAATTAAATATTTGAGAAACATTTGTTTTTGTATATAAAATAATTATTTCATTTCTTTATCATTCTTTATTTACTTTTTTAAATATACTCATAATAATTTATACGCCTAAAAAATTCTTTTCACTTACCATTCCTTAAAGAGGTAACATGTTGATATATTTATTTTTTAACGTAACTGTCATTAAGTAAGAATGTTTATGGTTCATATATTTTGATATAGCGGAACATTTAGTACATATAATAGTACTGTATTTTATAAAATAAGAAATTAATTAGCACTATATATTTATAAAAACTATAAAAAAAACAAAAATTTAAATAAGAAAAATTATTTTGTTCTTACAAAAAATGCGCAGTGCAACAAAAACAAAAGTACAACGCGCAGAAACCGCGATTGTTTCAATAGAAAGCACAACCTTGAAATTGAGTTGTTTTTTTTATCAATTATTTATGCAAATTTGATTGCAAGAGAAAGAAATAACTGAAAACTAGTTACACTTAAAACCAATTTAATATTATATTTCAAACAATTAACTTTTTGCAATAACATCTAAAGTGCATAACCATTTCATTAAATTTTACACAAAACACTTCCTTGAAACGATAAAATAATATTTTCTTTCTCGTTACTTAGCAATGCTGCATTGTTAGGGCGACACAAGGCAGGTGGATGGTAAAAAAATGAAAAACAAATAAGAATTAAAAACACCCCCTGCCGCTAATACTCAACACAATTTTATTTTTATTTATCCTTGTTGATTCGTTTGTTTTCTTCAACATTTTGGTTTTAAAGTAATTTTTATTTTAAATTATTTTAAACTTTTACTTAATAAAGAGATAAAATTAAATTTCTTGCATATAATGAAATTATGTCTTTAATACAAAATAACCACAAACCCTTTCTTTAGCTTTATTATTTGTGCGCGATAACTTAATCCACAACTTGCACGTTCAACTGATTATTTTGGACTAAAACAGGCAGTCGAAAAGAAACGTTGTTGATTTCGCTCTTGTGTTTTCTCTAGCGTGCAATGAAATGAAACGGAACTGTAGACACGCTTTTTAATGTAGGGAATGCAAGTTTACTTCATAGCTTGATAACGGTAAGAAACGGAGTTACCATCTATTCAATATTAAGAATATCAAATTTGAATAAATTAAATTATTATGCTAAATTTATAATAAATTGTTATTACGACTAATATTCAATTAGTTTTTATATTTGTTACTGCGCTTAGGTCGTTTATTTAACAAATAAATTTATAAAAATATTTTTTTAAATAAAATTAAAAATTACGTGTTTCATTATTATTATACACTGAAGATGATCTACGAAGTAAACCGAAATATCTGTAATATAAATAATTTTGTATAAAAATTAAAACATAACTAAATATTTAACATAGTTTAAAAAGTGTAATTTTTTATTTTATTTAAAACAAAACATTTTTTTAAATTTATAAGTTAAATAAACGACCTTAACCCAGTACCAAATATAAAAACGAATGCTAAATTTATACAAAAAATATTTATTCACATTATTTATAATTTTTCTAATACAAAATAATTTATTCTTTGCTTTACTATTATTTTTTTTCAATTTATGTTTAATTTTCACAAATTAATACAAGTACTTTATTTAATAGATAATAAATAAGTGAATAAATAAGTGGAATCAGGCGCGTTTATAAGTTAAAATGATATTTAAATTTTACTTACTAGTTTAAATAAATAACATACAAAATCTAATAAAAGTAAAAAAATATTAATTATTTATCAAATATTTAATAACTTGCCTTATTTTATTATACTTCTGTTTTATTTTTTCTACATTATTTATTTGTATTAATTATTAAATAATACCGAAGATGTTATTTATAACAGATGAAATATCTATTATAAATATATTAAAAATTTATTTAGTTTAAAGTTTTCAAATAAAATTAGTACTTTTATTTATAGTTTTTTTTTATATTATTTAAAGTAATATAAAACAAAAAAAACATCTTGAGACCAAAAAGAAAATCTAAAATAAAAACATATAAACAATAAAGATCGATATTAATATTTACAAAAATTTATTAAATACTTTATATAGTTATATATTCGATTTTATGATTAAAATGTTTTTCATCAGAACTTTTTAAATGAAGAGGATTAAAATAAAAAAAGTAGACATAGTAGTAAAAGTAGTAAAATGGCAATAAGACGTTCAACCATTTTAACACTCAGACTATAAAATTATCAACCCCCCCTAGTAATAAATTCTCTATGTTCAAAGTTAAAAATATTTATTAAAGATCTACTTCGTTGATCGATTCCATATATATTCTCTATAAAGAAAATGTTTCATATTCGTGCAATATGTTTTCACATATAATATATGACTTACTGTCCAATTTTTAAAGCAAAGTACAATAGATACTGTAAAAGTACTATTTGCAACAGGCACCACTCTTACTATATATTTTAACTTCTTAAATTAATCTTCAATAATTCAAAGGGGTATGTTAAGAAATCCTTATAAAGTCCTTTTTTATACACTCTGATATAATTTTAATTTTTTAAATTAAAAATTTTTCAGCTATCAGACAACTACAATAAAACGTTTTTATTTAGAAATTTGAAGCAGATATTTCGTTCTTTATTTTAGAACATCCTCAGTGCTGTAATAATTATACAAAAAAATTACAAAAATTTTTTAAAAGTTACACATTACAATTAAAATAATACCTTAATTTTTAATAAAAAGCTTAACTTAAGGTTTATGAATTTAAAATTAAAACAATATATACGAAAAATTAATATATATATTAAAAATGACACTATTGAACTCAACAAAATAAAATTAACAATAATTATTTTTATTTTTAACATCACATTGTCTGTTAAGTGATCAGACAATAATAAAACTTAGAAACAAAAATAAGAAATTGGAAAAATATAATCTATTTCGTTATGTCAAAAAGAACTTTAGTACAAATAATTTTAATTACATTTCTTCTAAATGTAGGAAATGAAAGAATCTGAAAACATCAGTCTTTTTACATGACGATAGAAAATAATCTCTTTTCAGAGACATTAATTACAGCTACATATAGACTGTGAATGTTATTACATAGATACAATCTACAACGATCATTGTAAACCGTTTAATTTCTAAATTGATATTTATTTTATAAGTAGCATTAAATTACTTATCAGACGTTTAGAAAACTTTAGAAGTAAATTGTTAGTCTCAAATAATGTGATCTTATAATAAAAATGTATTATTTATAATGATGCTGTACAATATATTTGTATCATACAGACAATGATTTAGTTAGTATGACCTTTTGTGAACCCTTAGACCATCTGAATTAAGATTAGGAAAAGGGAATGGTGATAAATAGGCCACAAGACTCAGATATTGCAAAAATGTGTCCTGAATTGGTCCCTCAAGGGTTTCGTACACCTGACCGATTTATACACGCACAACATCAACAATATTGTAAAATTGTGGGGCGAGACTTGAATAATTAAAAAACTATTTATTATTATTATAAAATAGAAATTTATAAAAGATTTCTATTATCTTTTATTTAAAATACAATTTAGGGATTAAATACATAAAACTTTTTTGATGAAGTTCCAGCATTTAAAAATAAGAAGTTGTCTAATAGAAAACTCAACTTAATTCAAATGCAATTCATTCTTATGCATGGAAGCAAATTAAAATTAATATGGTTGTCAAAAATGATTTTCTAGTATAATGAAAATTTGAAATCCATTCATACATCTATATCTATATATCAAAACGTCTTACATTAAAAATACAATCAAGCAGATAACTTATTACTAATGAATACATTACGAGCAATTGTGTTCACTTACCGATACAGTAAATCCACATGAAGTTAATATAAATATTGAATCATATAGATGTTTTTGTTTAAGATCACAATACAGAACACTACTAAGAAAATACGTAAGACCAGAGCTCGTAATAAACAAAAAATACAAATAAAATTTAAATCTATTGATTAAAACTTAAGATAAACTCTCAATTGATTATAAAATCTTTAAAGGAAAGGTTTTTGTAATTCAGGAGAGAAAAAAGCATAGATTTCATAGATTTCTACAGATTCTAACTAGCACCATCTAAATGATCCTTAAGCATTTCTGGAGGATAAAGTTTTATAGAATTCCTTATTGCTTTAACAATGATAGATCTTAAATACATTGTTTTTCAACTCGATTATTCTAGCATTCTTTCCCACGATCACTAAATCTGTTCTTTCTTACATTTAAAATCCTTTTGTTATTGCATACACGAAAGAAATACCAAAGTGGGCATATTATATAGGAATAAGAAATAAGACTCGATAAACTACGTTCGATATTACAACTTATTTGGTAACTCTCTGTTGAAGAGATAACCTACTTTTAGACCTACTACTCTCGGTAAAATTAAATTATTTATTTAAAACAATAAACATTTAGTGTAGATAATGAAAAATATTAATAAACTATACAAAAGGGCAACACCTTGACATAACCCCCAAACACAATAAGTAAACTTCAATGAAAATCATCTAAAACCAAGCAATAAAGTCTACGTTTGGAAAATTTTACTTAGTATGAAATGCAATTATGTTATTTCAATGTTATTCATGTTAAAGTTATTAAAACAGGTTCAATGTAAATAAATTCATTATTTATCATAAGCTAATTTTATATTTGGAAAAAAAATAAAACAATCAAAATGAATTGAGGTAAAATAATTTTTAAAATTTTTTAAACTATAATTACAAATTTATGAAAAATATTTGCAAATAACTTAAAATAAAATACTTGTAAAATTACAAATAAAATATTGTTTATCGATAAGTTTATGGTCATTAATCATATTGCGCTGTTTAACTAATTGTCAAACTCATGGAACGTGCAAAAACAACAATAATGCAATGCACTAGTATACCCCTTTAAAAGTTTATTAATGTATTGCATATAATTATTACAAATTGAAGTACCTTCGGGTTATTAACCGATCAACGATTTTTAGTATCGATTTCATTGTTTCCAGTTGTTTTTAAGACTCAAGAAGGCAATATAAACTTTTACGATTTCATCATTTATCATTGCGCTTTATGAAGATAAGGTAAACAATTATATATGCAAATATGGCAGGTAGATGGAGTATGGGAGCTAAAAAAACTTTTCTAGTTTAGGAACTGCAAATATATTTCCAAATTAAGGAATATAATTTTACAAGATTGATCCTAAAATATTAAGACACTTCAAAATAGAAGTTTCTATTATTTTCACGATTTGTTTTGATCCCCCAATCTTTTTTCCTTCTCTACTATTAAGAGACCGAGACCGAAGACCGAAAAACTTGATTATTACTGGGTTGAAAATTGTAGGTATTGAAAGAGAGTTTTAAGATTTATAGTTATTAATACTCTCTCAGAATTAGAGTACATCATTAATTTATATTATTATAAATTAAATAATTCTTCTAAATAAAATCATATTTATCGCTGCAATTTTTGCCATTTAAATGCGAAAAAACTATTCGTTTACTTTTAAATACATTGGAACATTATATTTTCTATTTGGTGCATAAATTATAATAGTAGTAGGAACCAGTAGTAGATCTATGGTTGGGTGACAACACAGTATGACAGACGTGGAACTTGAGTCAAAGAAATAGTTCTCCTTTTCCAATTAAAATTAAAGTATGCTTTAACATATGACGGTGTACTATGTGATTAACTTCTTATTCAAAAATCCCTATTGTCTACAGACAATGAAGTACTTAATGTCTTTATTTTAAAATTGATATAAAAAATAGGTCTGCGTATGTTAATCACAATACCTGCCTAATATAAAAATAAGCTTTTAAAAGGTTAATAAAAACTATCTGCAATAAACAATATTTGAATCAGAACTGAAAAATTTGGTATTTTTGTCAATTGAAAAGAAAATCTTTTTTAACATCTCATTGGATGTATTAATAATAACTATATTAT